AGGCCTCCTTTAGTTCTGCTTGAACAACCTAAGCATCAATTAAGTACACGATGATGGTTTTATCAATCGTGGCCTTCGTCCTCTCCACTTTGGCCCTAGATTTAGCAACCTCGGCCCCGAATTCAGCAAGTTTGGACTCGAGCTCCTTGATCTTCTTGGACTGGGCCAGATTTTTCACTTTAATTCCTCGGAGCTAAGTCTCAGCCGAGGCCAGTTAGGCTAGAGGAGCTTTTTTATCAGCAGCAAGCTGATCCTTGTTCTCCTTCCATCGGTGGCAATCAGTCTTAACATGATCAACCTAACCATGGAGCTGCCCGACCATCTCCAACTTTTACTGTAGTTGAGATATTAAAGTGTTAGCCTCCGCAGTAAGGCCAAAAAGACCAGACTCTTTCAAAATCACGAGTACCTGCTTGTCCAGCTCGGCCTCGTTTTTGCGAGCTTTGGCTAAATCAGCCACATGGTCCGTGAGCTCCTCCTCCTTTTGGATACAAAGGAGCCTCAGGGCCTTCTCTTCACCTGAAGCCTTCCTGAGCTCGGCCTCACATTGGCTCAGCTCAGCCCTGAACTTGATAATGTCCAACATATAAAACAAGGAGATATTAGTCAAAAGAAGGGGAAAAGAAAGAAAATTACAACAAAGGTTAGTGTTTACCCGAGAGAAGAGACGATGAGCCTCTTCAAAGAAGGTGGATGCATCATTAAGGTTGGCGGCATCATCAACCCTGATGAAACATTCCTGAAAAGGATCTTCTTCAAGGACCTTGTTCAGGTCGAGCGTTCACAGAGCTCGAGTGTCCTTTATCGACTCCTCAGAGAAAGATGGTAGAGAAGGGGAATGACATATTGTCACGGCCCCAAGATCTGCACTTGGGGCGCTCTGTTTAGCTTTGGGATTCTTGGCACTTGCCCTCTCTAGTGTACTTGTTGAAGGAGCGGGAATGATCTCGATTTGAGGGGACTTGAGGGCTTTGCCCGAGTCTTTCTTTGACGTTTCCTCACCACCAGGTAAGGTCTCTAGTTTGGAGTGCTCGGTAGCTTCGACCGATTTCCTATTTCGGGCACCAGTGTCGACTCTTCACCCTTGTTTTCTTCATCTTCCATAAATTAGAGGGTCAAATCTACGTCCACAAGGATAAGCTTCCTCTTTGGCTTTCGAGTAGGGGTCCTCGCATCCTGGGGGTCTTCGGGCTTTGAAATCCTTTTTCTTTTGTCGTTTTTCCCTGATTTAAGAATCTAGGACTCAGTCTCTTCCTCGGGCGGGGCTGACCTCATTTCGGAGACATCTTCGATTCCTGTAGAAATAAGCATTAGTGGGATGACATCTCCAATAAAAGAAAAGCATAAAAAAACCTGGGAAGAGAACTTACCATGATGTTTGGCCTCACATTTGCCCCTTGATAATTCGTGCCATTTGCGCTCATCATACGAGGAGATTGCAACTAATTTCCGGACCCAGTCCCCGAGGTCGGGGACCGCGTAGGGCATCCAAGAAACAGCTGCAAAAAGAGGCAAAGGCTTTACGAAATACCGAAGCGGAATATGAGAGGGTATTTGGAAAAGGACTTCACTTACGATTGAAGTTCCATCACTCCGGGAATGGCATTTTTCCCCTAGGGATGACATCCGAGGTCCTCACTCTAACAAATTGGCTCTTCTAGCCTTGATCTTTATCCTCGTTGTTACTAGCAAAGAAGGCCTTTTTTGATTGACGTTGAAGCTTGATGAGCCCTCAAAATAACCGAGGCCGGTACAACCAAATGAGATAGTTGAGGGTAAACTCTAATCCCTCGGCCTTGCTGGAGAAATAGAGCAGCATAATCACAATGCGCCAAAAGGAGGGATGGATCTGGTCGAGAGTAACCTCGTACCTTTTGTAGAAATCAATCACTACCGGATCGAGGGGACCCAGCGTGAAGGGGTAAGTATAAACACTCAAGAACCCTTCCACGGGAGTAGTGATGTTTTCCTCAGGGTCGTGGATCTGTACCACGACCTCATCTCCCCAGCCGCAGTCCTTATTCATGGCCTTAAGATGCTTCTTCAATATCGAATTGCTATATCGAGATACATGTTCACATCGACCTGGGATATTAGGGGGATTTTCAATATTGAAATCCTTCTTTATCGCACAGGGGCCAGGAATGATTTCGTGAAGGGTCGGAGCGGCCAGTTTGGCCGGCAGGAATAAGAAGAAGAAGATACGTTTTCTTTTTGGGGGACCATTTTAGAAGTTTTGGCCATGATTTTAAGCTAAGAGATACAGAAGGTAGCAGAGCGTGGTGTTTTCTGGGAGTTTGGCATTTTTCGGCACTTAAAGTGGCGGTGGAAGTAGATGTTGAGAGAAAGAGATGAAGAGGAAATGAGATTAGAGTGAATGTAATGAAGAAGTAAAGTCCTTAATTCAAAGAAGGAGCCCCACATTTATAGATGAGCGGCAACGGTTTGGCGACGCTAGTGGCCAACCATTACTGGCATGCATTTAATATTTTGGGGAAGCAAACCGACGGGACATTTCGGTAACTTTGAGTGCCTACATTACAGAATGACGTCATCATTAGTGACTCCGGAAAATCGAGTTTCAAATCATTTCTTATCATCTCACTCTAAGAAACGTGGGGACTATCTGTATACGGTCGAAATTAGGTATGCCCGATTTCCCGAGCTCAAGGGATCGCCTTAAGCCCGAACTCATGATAAATCGAGTTCGAGCTCGATGGACCAGGCTCGAGCTCGATGGCAGAGTACAAGGTTTCGAAGAATTAAGTGTTCGAGGAATGTCGGAGCCTAAAATGACTGGCCTCGAGATAATGCCTTTATGGAATTGTAACAGAATGAGCAAGATTCCTGCCATGTCCCCAAGATCATGGCGTAACTCCCGGAATAGATTTGTACGAATCTATACTAGGTGGTTAGACATCTGTCTCAATAAGATTCTTTATTGTAAATAGAAATGTACCTTATTTAGGGTTCCACTATTATATAAAGGGGGCCTCAATCATTTGTAAACATCATCAATCATTGACAAAGAATATACTCTCTTACTTTCTCGCTCATTGTTCATCAGAATTGCCCTTTAGCTTTATTATTCTTGCTTTACTGTTCTTGATCCATCTCGAGGTCACTTTGGCTCGAGGTCAAACTGGTCAACATTCTGGCTTGGTTTTACTTATTCCTTTCATTTATACATCGAATTTCTTGATTAATAATTAGTATTGAACTAAATCACGTATCTTTAAAACCATAAATCAAATTTAATTGTTACTCGTATTTTCGAGGTAAACACACTTATATCATGTTTTACTGTGATGAATGATGTTGGGCTATTACTAGCATTATAAACATTACTACCAATTTCTAGTTGTTTTTGTTGCGGTGTATAACTCAGCAAATCAAAAAAAAAAAAAAACATATGAATTATTGATTCACTTTGTTCACTGAATCACTAATATTACCATCAACAGGAATTTCTGCAATCAAAGAACCATTTACTTGGTAGATACCAACTTTAATTTTCGGAACTCAATTCTGGTTCAAAACATTATCAATACTTCCTTCAGTAATTGCTGTGGATTTTAGTTATATCTTGTAAGGTGTAATGCCTCTTGCCAATGCTTTTGGAATAGAAGCAGTATAGTAAGAAGATAGCAATGAATGAAGACGGTGGTCCCAGAACTTAAAGGCTAATTTGCCGCTGACATTTGTGTAGGGTCATTGATCCCATATATTCCTTTGGCAGTTAAAGCACAAACATACTTGCCTTGGCTATAGGGTTCATCTATGACGAGCCACGTGGAGCTAATTTAGCCATTGTTGATACACTGCTATAAACATTATTAATTTATTCTAGGGTAAGTAGGGTATTAAGTATTTGGTTCAAAATTACAAGGAGTGTGTATATATGAATTGAGTGATGTTCATTTAACGTATATTACTCTAGAAAGAATTCCATTGCTTTTTGGTGTATTATTCATCATGGGTTTCAAAGTTTAAACATTAAGTAAATTTCCCTTTCTTGATGTCTGTTACGTTGTTACATGTTTTTGTAGGAGAGTGGGGGGGGAGTACTGTTAATGAACATGATAGGCAATGTCATCCTAGTTTAAATTTGTTCAATATCGTCAAGTTAAGTTGACCTATAATAATATATAACTCATCATAGCAACCCTGATATTGTGACCTGAAAAATGAAGTAATAGCATGTTACAAACGATTAAATTGTATTGATAAATTATGCAATCTGATATATTATAACTTAAATCCTCTTTGGGATTATTACTTGTATCGAAATTTGGCCATATTAAATAGGAGCAGTCATCAATTATTTTGACCTTCTACCAGTTTAAAAATATTTGCCTTCAGAGAGGATCCAAGATAAGATTGGTCTCTGATAGTTTAGAACAGTTTACTGAAGACTACTTTCAGTATAGATTAGAAAAGAACATTGACATCTGACATTTTCTTTTTTTGGTAAAGATTGACATTCCATCTATTAATGGTGCATATATATATATATATATATACATATATATATATATCCTCAACGTCCGAGCTCTTGCACCAACATATGTACATTGTATATATCATCTTCCATTAGCGCTCTTAGAAGGTAACAAAGTCATATTAGCCATGGATTTTATATGGGCAACAACTCTAATTGTTGGTCTATTAGTATGTGCCTTCTATGAGCCGCTAAACATTCAGAAGAGAAAAAGGTTTCCTCCAGGTCCAAAAGGGCTTCCCATTTTTGGACATCTTCATTTGTTAGGTAAAGATCTACACCAAGATTTACAAAAACTAGCCAAGAATCATGGTCCTATTATGTATGTACGATTGGGATTAGTACCTGCAATCGTTGTCTCGTCTGCTGATGCAGCTGAGAAGTTCCTCAAGACATATGATCACATCATTGCTAGTAGGCCTCATCACGAAGCATCCAGTATTTGGGTTATGGCCAGAAGAATTTGACTTTTGCAAAGTATGGTGCATATTGGCGTAACATGCGCAGACTGTGCACTGTTCACCTTTCGAATAGCCACAAGATGAATTCATTTCGATCCATGAGAAAGAAAGAAGTTGAACTTCTGATTGAATCGCTTAAAGAACAAGCTCATGATCACGTTGCTGTTGATCTTAGTGCAAAGATTATGTCGTTGAATGCTAACTTGACTTGCTTAATGGTATTTGGAAACAAATACATGGATGAGGACTTGGATAAGAGGGGATTCAAAGCTGTAGTTCAATATGTTGTCCGTTTAGCAGGAACACCAAATCTTAGAGAGTTTTTCCCATTTCTTGGTGTTATTGATCTCCAGGGATTCACTCGCAAACTCAAGGATCTTTCGAAGGTGCTTGATAAGTTTGTCGAGAGGATCATTGATGAACATGCTGTCTCATGACCAGAAACAAACTAAGGACTTTGTGGATACTATGATGGACATTATGCAATCAGGAGAAGGAGAATTTCAGTTTGATCGTCGAGATATAAAAGCCATCCTCTAAGTATGTAATTGTTTCCCATTCAAATACTAATATAAGCTCAAAATACCACTATCTTTAATATTGATTCTACTTCCTTTTCAATACAGGACATGCTAATTGCAGCAATGGACACTTCAGCCACATCAGTAGAATGGATACTCACTGAGCTTCTAAGGTACCCTCAAGCGATGAAGAAATTACAAAGAGAGTTGGAAGAAGTTGTAGGCATGGACAGAATGGTTGAAGAATCAGACCTGGAGAATTTAAAGTACTTAGGCATGGTTGTAAAAGAGGGCCTGAGGCTGCATTCCATAGTGCCACTAATGCACCATGAGGCCATGGAAGATTGTGTAGTCAACGGCTTCCACATACAAAAGGGATCCCGAATCATGATAAATTGTTACGCGATTCAGAGGGATCCAAATGTTTGGCCTGAGCCTGAGAAGTTTTTGCCTGAGAGATTTGTGGGGAGCAGCATAGATATTCGTGGACGCCACTTCCAACTTTTACCATTTAGCTCTGGTAGAAGAAGCTGTCCTGAAATGCAGTTGGGGATTACTATTGTTCGCCTTGTGGTAGCACAATTGGTGCATTGCTTGGATTGGGAGATTCCAAATGGTATGCAGCCTCTTGATTTAGACGTTGATGAGCAGTTTGGGATAGTATTATGCAAAGAAAAGCCTTTGATGGTTATTCCAACGTATAGACTAAATGTATGATGGATGTAGGAATTTAAATTTAGACACGTTATCTTCTGGTTGTACCTATTGAACACCTCATATTCAGGTTCTGCTCTTTTGATATTTGTGATTGTTGTGTGCTTTATCTGCTATTCGGGTACGCGTTCTTGGGTTTGTCCTTCTCTTGTTACGGACATTCTCGTTCATTTGAACATGGGCCCTTGGGGAGCGGTGGTTCCCCCGGTAATCATGTGGATGTTAAGTTGGAGGACCTTCTCTTTCGTCCGGGTTGAATAGGGTGGTTTGTCGGCCTCTAGGACGGTCATTTCCCTTTCTCTATTGCTTTCGAGGTAGTCGTTCATAACCCCGTTTACTGAGCCAGACATTTTGACATGAAATCAAGAGATCTTGGACAAGAAAAAGTGTGAAAGATAACTTGTGTTTTCTCGATGAAACTAGCAAGAAAATAATCACTATTAATTTTAGCCCCACGGTGGCCGCCAAACTGTTTACCGTGGAAATGGTAACAATAATTAAATTTGTAAATAGGGTTCTAAAAATACGTGATCTATTTTTATGCTAGCTATTAGAGCAGATGATGCTAGGAATATAAAGTTTAACGATGTAGTGCGATCTAAAATGAGGCAGTAATCAAACCGAGGGGCTTACTGCCCTCGCTTCGGACTGGTCGATGGAGGACCTCGGGGTCGATACCTGAGGTCAATCTCGAGCTATCGGGGGTAGTCAGGAATGGGATAACAATTAAGATATGATTAAACAAGGCTTTTTATGGCCAATACCCAGCAATAAAAGAAGAACAAACGGGAGAGAAGTGAATGCTAAAGTGGCCTCAAGACAGTAAGAACAACCGAGTTAGAGAGAAAAGAGAGAGAGAAATATTATTGATATTGTGGAGAAATAGTTTGAGCAATCTCCATCGAGGTCTTACAAATTGGTAGGGATCCCCTTTATATAGGAGGGAAATCCGCTATAGTACAAAACGTGTTAGCCGTGAAGGTGTGGAGATAGGATGGCTGGACGTGACATCTTGAAATAGGCCCGGAATAGGCCAGCTCTGTCAGATTGAGTTGTGTGCCTTGGGAACTCCACTTTCACCTGCTGTAGCCCGTTATAGCTGTCGGGATGTGATATCCTCCTGACCGATATCTGACGACCCCCGAAGATGATTCTCGACCTTGACTACGAGCTTCGAGGGGTATGACGACGAGACGACCTTATGACGAGGAAATTGGGCCCCCGGATTTTCCGCATACACAAACAACCCAAATGGATCAAATGGAGCGCGCCAACACTCGCTAATCAAGGATCTAAAGAAGGGGGACCATCAGCTTGACTACCTGCACCTGTGAGCATGAAACGCATGTCCTGTGAAATATGGCGTCAGTAGGAAAAATGTACTGAGTATATAAGACATGAAAATTAGTACGAACACGACATAAATGAAACATGGAATATAGAAATACGTCTTTAAATCTGAATGACTTTGTAAATTCTAAAACGTTTATAATGTCATGCACATGCGTATAAATGCCATGTCATGCATAGGTATGGGTGTACATAACTTCATCAAGCCACTAAGGGCATTCCATCATATCATCTCGACCACTGTGGGCACATTATCAACATATACCAGCTGATCAGGTGGTGGTGTATATATAACGCCGTAACCTTTTCCCATATCCCATATACGTACATATATACGCGTATATAACGCCGTCTGAGTCATATTTTAGCCACTGTGGGAAACATCATCATCATATGCCAGCTGATCAGGTGGTGGTGCGTATATAACACTATAACCTTTTCCCATATCCCATATACATATATTTACATATATACGCGTATATAATGCCATCTGGTCAGGGGTCAATTCACATGTATAAATGAGTGAAATGCATGAAAAATACGTAATAATCTCAATATTCCTTCCGGATAAACTTTTTCAACTGTGTATTATTCTGAGACCCACGAATAGAAGATAATAATATTTCTCATGGGGAATAAGAATATAGATAACCCTATTATTTTTATGAATAGAGTAATTTATGAAAACTATATATTTGCTCGTTTCTTCAATATAATTTGGACTATTCCAAAAGAAAGAAGGGAAGGTCTTAACATACCTGGAGTAGGGAAATCTTCGTATAATATTCCGTTAGAAAACCTTTGTTGATTGAACGAAATTTTTGCTCTTGATTTTTCGAACTCTTGAACGAATTGGCCTTGACATACGAAGCTTTTGGAATCATGAACTAACCTTTTGTTTCTAACATCATTAAGTTTCATGGATGGTAGTTATCTTGGAATTTCCCCTTTTCCATCCTGAAGGAACGAACCTAAGGTTCCTTATCAGAAACTTTAAGTCTTATGACTTTGTCTCATATTTAAGGCCTTATTCCTAGATGGCCACATAAGGAAATGTGACTCTTAGTCATTTCTTTCTTATGTGGTCAACTGCCATATTTTGGTTGTGTTAATTAATTAAGTTTTGTCTGCTTATTGGTTAACTGGGTAATGTTCTGTTACCTGATAATTAATCAATTATCCGTATAATTTAAAAATTACCATAAATTACTTAGAATTCTATTTATTTTTAAAATACTTCATATATACTTTATATATATTATACTACCGTGGTCATATGGTACATTGTATGGTTCTAGTTCAAAATTATCGGGTATTATCATTTGACCCGTATTTTATCCCAAATTGGCCACTTTCAACGAAACTCGTTTTCTTTAATTCGTGTATCCTTTATCCTTCAGGACACTTATTTATCGCTTGTTATAAATAACATAAATATGTTAACGTCAAGATGATCTCAACTCCGAGTCTACGTTAATTAACCGAAGACGAAACTTTTAACATATGAAAACGCGAGATGTAACAGCTCCAGATTGGGAGCAGCCATTTGAGTTGATGTGCGATGCGAGTGACATAGCTATTGGAGTTGTTTTGGGGCAAAGGAAAAATAAAATCTTTCACCCCGTTTACTATGCGAGAAAAACTCTGAATCCACCCCAGATGAACCACACAGTTACTAAAAAAGAGTTGCTTGCAGTGGTGTGGGCATTTGACAAGTTCAGATCCTATCTAGTGGGAACCAAAGTCAACGTCTACACAGATCATTCAGCTATAAGATATTTGTTTGAAAAGAGAGATGCCAAGCCGAGGCTAATTCGTTGGGTCCTCCTCTTGCAAGAGTTTGACCTAGAGATCCAAGATCGAAAAGGGACAGAGAATCAAGTGGTTGATCACTTGTCCATATTAGAAAATCGGAGCCATGTAGCTGAAGGAGGGTCTATCAAAGAAACATTTCTTGATGAGCAATTATTAGCAATCACCTCAAATGAAGCCCCATGGTATGCAGATTATGTGAACTTTATTGTAAGTAGGGTGACACCACCAGAATTGACACCTGGTAATTGAAGAAGATTTCTACATGATGTGAGGTTCTACATGTGGGATGAGCCATTCTTATATAAGCAATGTGCAGATCAATTGGTACGAAGGTGTGTTCCTGAGGAGGAGATGTAGGTAATATTTCATGACTGTCATGATTCTCCATATAGAGGTCATCACGGTGGGGATAGAACCGCTCAAAAGGTGCAACAATCCAGTTTTTATTGGCCAAAATTGTGTAAGGATGCACATGCCTTTTTTAAAATATGTGATAGATGCCAAACAACCGGAACGATCACTAAGAAGCATGAGATACCTTTGCAGAATAAATTGGCAATAGAGCTTTTTGATGTTTGGGGGATCGATTTCATGGGACCATTCCCATACTCTAATGGTCATAGGCACATCTTGGTGGCGGTTGACTATGTGTCTAAGTGGGTGGAGGCCATTGCTCTTCCTACTAATGATGTAAAGGTAGTGGTGAGCTTTGTAAAGAAGCACATCTTCACACGCTTTGGGACTCCAAGAGTGTTGATAAGTGATGGAGGAACTCACTTCTGTAATAAATTGCTGAATAATGTTCTTGCAAAGTAGGGCGTTAAATACAAGGCTTCCACTGCCTATCACCCCCAGACGAGTGGTCAAGTGGAAGTTTCAAACAATGAGGTAAAGTAGATTCTGGAGAAAACAGTAAGTGGAAATAGAAAGAACTGGGCAGGGAAGCTGGATGACGCATTATGGGCATATCGCACTGCATACAAGACTCTCATAGGTACTTCTTCGTTCAGATTAGTTTATGTAAAGGCGTGTCACTTGCCCGTTAACCTTGAACACAAAGCCTATTGGGCGATTAAAAAGCTAAATATGGAGATGGACTTACCCGGCGAGAAGAGGTTGCTACAACTCAATTAGCTTGATGAGTTTCGGTTGCACACATATGAAAATGCCAAATTGTATAAAGAAAAGACCAAGACGTGGCATGATAAGCATATTCAACATCGCGAGTTTGAGCCAGGTCAAGAAATTCTCTTGTTTAATTCGAGGCTAAAGCTTTTTCCCAGAAAGCTTAAATCTCATTGGTCGGGTCCTTTTGAAGTGGTTAGTGTGAAACCTTAGGGAGCGGTGGAATTGCATGATACGAGCTCCAATGCAACATTCTTGGTAAATGGGCAGAGAGTAAAACATTATTGGGGTGGTGACATTGTACGTCACAAGACCTCGATGGACCTGGCTGATGCGTGAAGAACGTGTTGCGTCGTGCCGCTAAATCAGGCGCTTCTTGGGAGGCAACCCAAGTATTTTCTTTTGTTTTCATAGTTTGTTCCTTTTTCCCATTTGATCTGTATTTCTTATTTTTTTTTCTTTTTCTAGGAGTTCCTTGATTTTTTTTGTAGGACTTAGTTTTTGTATGTAGTAAAACAAAGCGTCAGGTGTGGGAAAAAAGGGTGGATGCATCGCATCCCCCTCAGCGTTAATTAATCACAGACCAGTTGCTCAAGGCAGTGAAGTCCTCCCAAAGCATCCACAACAGTGTCTAAAAAAATAATTCAGTGAAATCACTTGGATGCGTCGCATCCGAGTTCGTATCCCATGTAAGTATTACTTAAAATACTCGAACCATCTAAATTCCCTCCCTTACTATTTTCCCATCTTCTTCCCTCAGCCCGTCGCCCGCCACTGATTCCACCTCAACGATCACAGGTAATCTCTCTTCTCTCTTGTTTTTTCTTCTATTTCCTAACTCTCTTCTCTTCTCTTTATCACTGGTAGCATCAGATTCCCCACCCCAAATTCCCCTAGGTTAGGTTTCAACTAGTTGCAATACAACACATGTGATGTAGAGAGGAACTAAATTTTTTTTGAGACGCGT